TCTTTCCAGTATTCAATATATTTTTCTTTCTGCTTGCTGATAATTTGGTTTGGTCTGCTTGAGTTGGTGTTGCTGTCCTGAGGCTGTTGGGGACTTGTTACTGCAGAGAGCCTCAGGACCAGCTGGCTGAGGGGACTCTTCTCTGGTTTCAGCTCCTGGTATTTAGGGCTTTGTGATGATATGTCTGGGGGTTAACTGATTTTAAGTGATTGTAAAATTTAAGTGATCTTTTCTGTATTTTTAGGAGGAGGGAGTATTGGCCGAGCTCTGCTCTGCACAGGTTATTTGGTGTCTTTCTCTGCACCTGCAGGATGCTCTTACAGAACTCAGTATGGAAAGATTCTATAATTGTTTTGTCCCATTTGTCAAATTCATTATATTATAAGTTTTGGCCCCCAGATTTCGCTACCATATAGAATTATTGGTTCTAGTACAAATTGGAAAATTTTCAGCCAGATTTCAATTGGAATATATATTTTAATGTTTCTTTTTATTGCATAGAAGCTCTCCTTGCTTTGTCCCTCAGATCTTTCACGGCCATGTTGAAGTTCCCTGTGTATGTAATGTTAAGGTCAAGGTAAGTGTAGTTTTTTGTGTGTTGTAATTTAGTGGTGTCTAAATAGAAATTGTGTGTAACCTGATTTTTGTATTGTTTCTGAAAGATCAGGTCTGCAAACCTTCTTTAGTAGGTGAGAGCAACACTAAGTCATCTGCATACAGCAGACCTCTGATCTCTGTGTCGTTGAGGAGGAGGCCAGGTGCCGTGGAACTCTCTAATTGGTTTGCTAATTCATTGATATATAGGTTGAAGAAAATTGGACTGAGATTGCATCCCTGCCTCACTCCCCGGCCCCGGGAGAAGAACGCTGTTTGTTTGTTTCCAATCTTTATGGCACATTCACTTTTTGTATACATGTTCTTAATCTTAATCAAATGTTTTCCCTCCAATGCCACTTTCAAGTAGCCTATAGAAGAGGCCCTCATGCCAGATGGAGTCAAAGGCTTTTTGGAAGTCAACAAAACAGGCTTATACCTTTCTTTTCTTAATGTTTAATTCTTGATCAATTAGAGTCTGGAGGGTAAATATATGGTCTGTTGTGCGGCAATTTGGCAAAATAACAATTTGGCATTTATGCAGAATATTGTGGTTATCAACAAAGTTGACAAGTCGTTTATTAATGATGTTGTTCTTTCTTAGTTTTTAGGGTGTACTTGTATTGTTTCAGAGTGGCCTCATATTGACAGCGTATGTTGTGGTTATCTGGGTCCCTATGCTTTTCATTTGATAATTTCCTTAAAATTTTCCTTAGGTTTTTGCATTCAGTGTCAAACCATTTGTTATTGTTCATTTGTTGAGGTTTTGGTTTGGAGGCTTTCAAATTAGATAATGAAGCCAAATGATGAAATATTGAATTGATTTTGTCCACAGCAGAATTTACACCAGAATTATTCTGGGGAAATGTTTCAGTTAGAAATAAATGAGTTAAATCATGTATGTTTTGATAACAGTTTTAGTTGAAGTTACTTTTTTTGCACAATGCACATTTCTTTCTTCTATATTTGGATTGCATAGCATGTTTTCTTACTGTGCAAATATGTCTTTCTCAAAGCATTTTTAATTGTTATGTTGTTACATTTCAAGAACATTTTTAACAACTTATACTATCACAGATGATGGGGACAAAATCAGCCATTTTAAAAAGTGATGGGGAATTGTTCCCAATGTAAATGTGCACACAGGCAACAATGTTGACTATAATTCTAATAGTTTGTTTAAAAGCCTTAAGCTGATGATACACAGGGGGAACTTTTTGAACAATGTTGCTGGGCAATCTGGCTGGTGGCAAGTCTGACATTTTAGTCCCCGGATCTCTTTTCAAGGAACTAAAAGGTTCCTTCAGAGTATTGTTGTGTGCGTTTCCATCGGGGTCTAAAGACCTGCAAAGATTAGGCAAATTAACCAGCTGACGTAGGCTGTAGGCCTGTACGCCGTACGAAGAGATGCACAGGCAGCAAAATTTATAAATGAACATCAGATTTGATGGAATATGATGAAAAACTACAGCCTGTGCTTGACCATTAAAACAGCTTTTTGTGCAAGAGTATAAAGAAGAAACACGATAACGTTTGTTACAAATTTAATAGAAAAACAAATTGTCACAAAAATGAAATCCATCCATCCATCATCAACTGCTTATCCTGCGTACAGGAGCCAATCCCAGCTGACATCAGGCGCAAGGCGGGGTCCACCCTGGACAGGTCCATTGCAGGACAAAAATGAAATGTTTGTTAAACTGACAGTTTGGAAGGTTATTAAAACATTTCCAGTCGACGAGAGCTGCAGATCAGCTGCAGCATCACATCTGTGTCACATGAGCGTCGGAGGAACCTGAGGTTTAACAAGCTTTACTACCTGCTGTAATCAGCTGTTCTGCTTGTTTGGAGAGGAGGAGACCGACTTATGCATTATGATAATAAGGATTGATGGCAACATTGCTCTAAAAATTGCTCCGTTTATCATCAGCTTTAGTGTGACAGCCTTTAACAGACCACACAAAACTGGTGAATTTCTCTCTTTTTTTGCATTTCCCAAACAGCATTTCACCAAGTAAAAGAACAGTTTAAACCATGTGTTTTAAACAAGTTCTTTCTGTTAGGCTATGTGTTTTTATCAGTATAACAATAACAGAAATAAGGGATTGCCTACTAGCTACTGCAACAAACTACGAGACTACATCCACACACAACTTAAGGTTTTCTTTTAGAAACCTGCCCCACAGACACAGCTAAGAGCTAATTTCCCACAGGGAGACTTACCTGTTAGAAGTTATGTATTCTACATATTTTTTGCAGCAGAGTTAATAGTTTAAAGTCAGTAAAATCCATTGCAGTTGCCAGCGAGGTAAGGAAAGTTACACTTAACCTGTCCTCGACTTGCATGGCAGCAGCTGACGCTTCATGTTCCTCAACTTTCTGATTTTTGTTTCTTACGCTCCACGATACCAAACATCCTATAATACACCATGATTAGTACCTTGTCTCACCTCTGCCCCCTGCATAACCTTTAGTTTAGCTTGAAATAGGCCAAACATAACCAAAAACAAGTGAATATGACCCATGACAAACATAAAACTAGATCTATTTTAAATTAAAACACCAATTTAAAAGGGAAAGATTTAAAAATAGGCGCTATTATTTGTTATTCACTTTTTTGCCTTTCTTCTTTTTCTCCGCTAAAAGTGTTTGGGTAGCAAAAACTGCTGCACGAAAACTCACCAAAATTGGTTGGGGGGTTGCAAATTCCACCCACTACTCAAGCAAAAAAACGGCCCTAGTAGACCTCATGGTGGCGCTATAACAACCATCTTTATATTTTTGCAATTATTTAAAAAACGGCTTTGTTTAGAGTCAAACTTCTTTAATCATTTTAATCTCTGGATTCATCTGCATCTTTGCTCCAATGGTCTTCTGCTCTAAAAATGTCAAATTATGTGACTTTTTATCTCTCTCTCTAAAACCTTTTTTGCGAACTCGTCCCAGATGGTTTCGCCAATCAACCCGAAACTTTGGCAGGATCATCTACACTTCGCTGATCAAAAGTTATCGAAAGAATTTTGATATATCAATCTGTTTTTGTCCATAAATTTACTTTTGTGTCTTTACGTACAATTTTACATAGATGCCCGTAAATCAAAATTGGCTTAAGCTAAACTTGATGCATCTGCTCAGATGGTGGGCCTGAGCTTTGCTGAGCAGACCTGGGATATTCTTCCACTAGGGGGCATTACACTTGCTAAAAGTTTATACCTCGTAATTCGCTATATGGATTCGTTCAAATTTCGGTTTGTACGATCTCGGGTCACTACTAAGTTAATGTATAACATTTGGTAATGATTGCTCAAAGTGGGCGTGGCTTATTACAAGAAATGTACATTTCTAGACATTTCTCATTCCTAACTTCAGAAAAATCTAAAAAAATCATCTGTACGTCCTAGAGAGCTGAAACCTTTTCAGCACATCCACTGATATGTGACAACCTATGGTAAATTCAGAAGTCATATTTTTCGGAATATGCTAATTCACTTAACATCTATATCCCTACAAGTCTTTCTTCAAATGCTATCAAACTAGACAGAATCGTTCTCCAGATGGCCGATCAAGTGTTTCAAAGGGTTTTCAGATCAGTCAGTTTTATTTGGATCGAGTGACACTTTCTATTTCATTTTCTCTGCCAAGAAGTGTTTGTGCACCTTAAACTTTAAACAATAAAATATGTCGCAGGCGGGTTGAACATTTCACGCAGTAGTCAGGTAGGCCTACATATAATGACACTAATCTCAAAGTGATGCTGTAAAAATCACATTTGCGTTTCCCCAATTATCTCAAAGTCCAAATTCTTTCACCACTTTAATCTCTCAAGTCGTCTGCGTGTGTTTCTCTCCTCTGAAAATGTAAAATGTTGCTTTTTTCGTGACTTGCTTGGAACCCGATCATTGCTGCCCGCGGCTATATTTATATTATGTAGTTTTTATCATTGTGGTGTTCTGACTCTGCATTTATTAAAATATCCTATGTTGCCTGAATGAAAGATCTGTAGATATTTGACACAATACTTCCAAATATGTAGGCTAGAGAGAAATCATGTGTTTATATATCTTCTGAAATGTACTTTGTTATTAGGCTATCTAAATGGTTAGGATGGCTGAAAATATTAATTAACAAGGTCTAAACTTTAATGGCGGTTAATATTGTTAATTATAGGCTACATGGTGTTTTCCAAATATAAACAGGGATATTAGACACAGAACTACCAAACACATGTTCATCGTCAACAATAGCAAACTGCAAACCCTTCTTTGGCCACTTTGTGATTATTCCATGAAGAGAAAGGTTAAAGTTTCGCAAAGTCATACCTTTGCACGTTGTGACTGATAAAAGCAGCTGTAGCCCTGCACGGAAAGTGGGCGATACAGCTTTAACATGATGCGCGCGCTCCCGCGGACAGCAATCACTTTTCGGCGGTGTAGGTGGACCCTGCTGGCCAATAGTGGCTCCAGGTGAGAGCAGCGGGCCACAGAGTGGCGTCAGCGTCCGCGCGAACCTAACAACCGTGGAGACGATGGAGAGCAAGCAAAGCCAGGTACCTTTACACTCCAGCCTGCTTTCTGGGTGTTGTTTTTGTTTTTATTTGTTTTAATTGAGTGTTATAAAGTAAACAGAAATAGGCTAAAAGGAAATAAAAAGTCGGTCTGGGTTGTTTGAGCAGCAGGAGCAGCAGTGACGGCGCGAGGCCACTCTGCTTTGATTTGACTAGTTAGTTTGAATCGTGCTCCACGCGCTCTTTATACACACGAGCGTAGTTGGCTACATTGTGTTAAGTCGCCTTGCAATGGCTTGTGCTTGACAAGGTCACTTAGTTTGTCATGTTGTCTTTTGATAAACATCGTTTAACATTGCTTTTTCCTTCTTTCCCGTTCAGTACGGTTTGGTCGAGCCCCACCTGCCGCTTATTACATTAGGTGCGTTTGATTTGACTGCAAGTGACTTCCGTTGACCCCCTATAGTCAAACATGAGATGCGGGAAACTGCAGGGGTATAAATACGTTCCACCTCCCGTAGACTGCCTGAGCTCAGAACAGTGGCCTGCAGATAACGTTCTTGCTTTCTTTTTTATTGAGAACTATATACTTCTGAATTTACCAGTCAACTGTAAAAAAGGGAGTCATCAAATTGGGTGAAAATATGACATACAAGGCCCTACTTCTTTTACAATAACAAACCCCTTAACTTAACAGTTCTGTAAGCTTTCTTGTTGGAATTGAAAACTATAGTTGTGGCCAAATGTAACAAGTGAGCTGCCAGAAGGAGGACGTCAAATAAATTTCATTCCCTTTAGAAGAGATCAGATCTGAAGTTTTTTAATAAATGACATGCGTGTCAGGCCTTGAAACAGCGAGGGTAAAGTTCTGTCATCACAAAGGTGGTTCCCACTTGGTGGAGGAGAACAACTGCAGGCAGCAGACTGAAAAAACTGCAGCCACTTTGCTACCATGAGGTTTTAATGTCATGTGACATAATGACATTAAGACAGCGCTGTGAATCACTGCATGAAGTTGTATGCACCAATTAATAAAGAACCTGCAAGTGTTTTTTTTAAACGTTTTGTTTGTTTCACTAGAAATGACTATTTCCGGACCCAAATGTTCGTTTTTGGGTAGGTTTTTGAATCGAATATTTTTTTCCCCACACGTCTGACATCAGTGCTTGTAAAATATCCACTGTGTCCTCATCATCTTTATTCATCCTCATTATTTCCGGATGTAAAGTTTTCTAACTCTCTTAGTTTAAGTAACAGCATCTCCCGACAGAACACCACGGTTGAATTTCAGCACGTTATAACATAACAAGTTGTTGTAAACTCTTTCTTCATCTGTCACTGCTCTGCGCACACACACAAACACGGATTCCCTTCCGCCCCACAAAGCAGTCAACCTTGAGAAACACTGTGCTGCTGTCATCTTGTGCTCTGAGATGATGTTTAAAGTTAATAATATTTGATTAGTATTTCATAGACTATTAGGGATAATGCATAATCAAGTTCAATAAGCATGATTCCTAAATCTAATAATTGTGATTATGATTTCTGCCTAGACTACAACAAACTAACAACAACATAATGGGCACATTTCAATAATTAAATTAGGCCTACTGAAGAACAGACCCATCTCCACAAATCGTTTAAGTGCTGTGCCAGCGACACTCACCGGCCACTTTGTTAGGTACACCTGTTCAGTTGCTGTAACACAAATAGCTAATCAGCCAATCACATGGCAGCAACTCAATACATTTAGGCATGTAGACGTGGTCAAGACAACTTGCTGAAATTCAAAGCGAGCATCAGAATGGGGAAGAAAGGGAATTTAAGTGACTTTGAACGTGGCATGGTTGTTGGTGCCAGACGGGCTGGTCTGAGTATTTCAGAAACTGCTGATCTACTGGGATTTTCACGCACAACCATCTCTAGGGTTTACAGAGAATGGTCTGAAAAAGAGAAAATATCCAGTGAGCGGCAGTTGTGTAGACATAAATGCCTTGTTGATGTCAGAGGTCTGAGGAGAATGGGCAGACTGGTTCGAGATGACAGAAAGGCAACAGTTACTCAAAAAACCATTCGTTACAAGCAAGGTAAGCAGAATACCATCTCTGAATGCACAACATGTCCAACCTTGAAGCAGATGGGCTACTGCAACAGAAGACCACAGTGGGTGCCACTCCTGTCAGCTAAGAACAGGAAACTGAGGCTACAGTTCACATAATTGGACAATAGAAGATTGGAAAAACGTTTCCTGGTCTGATGAGTCTCGATGTCAGCTGCGACATTCAGATGGTAGGGTCAGAATTGGGTGTAAACAACATGAAAGCATGGATCGGGAGATCTTCATCATGGATGTGCAGCAGACAAATCTGCAGCAACTGTTTGATGCTATCATGTCAATATGGACCAAAGTCTCTGCAGAATTTTTCCAACACCTTGTTGAACGTATGCCGTGAAGAATTAAGGCAGTTCTGAAGGCAAAAGGGGGTCCAACCCGGTAATAGCAAGGTGAACCTAATAAAGTGGCCAGTGAGAGTAACTGCCCTTCAGGAGGCTTCTGGAAGAGAGTAGGCTTTACAGGCAGGACATAAACAGTGTTCAGATATAGGGTGAATAAAGGTTAATAAAGATCTGTCTATCCATCTAGTCATATAGGTTGATCTGTTAGTTGCAGAGAAGGTGTTCACACTTTGTTTTCCCCTCAGGTGCTGAACCTTGTGCGGGTGCAGGAGCTGGAAACCTGGCTGAAATCAACCAATACAAAGCTGACTCAAGTTAACGGCCAGAGGAAGTATGGAGGACCACCTGAGGGTAAGAGAGGCTGATCAGCCCTTTACCTTCCCTAACACATGATATTTCCTCTTCTTCTGACCATTCTCTGTGAACCCTAGAGATGGTTGTGCGTGAAAATCCCAGTAGATCAGCAGTTTCTGAAATACTCAGACCAGCCCGTCTGGCACCAACAAACATGCCACGTTCAAAGTCACTTAGATCTCCTTTCTCCCCCATTCTGATGCTCGGTTTGAACTTCAGCAAGTTGTCTTGACCACGTCTACATGCCTAAATGCATTGAGTTGCTGCCATGTCTGGCATGATTGGCTGATTAGCTATTTGTGTTAAAGCAACTGAACAGGTGTACCTAATAAAGTGCCCATTATGTTGTTGTTAGTTTGTTGTAGTTTAGGGCTGCTCGATTAAGCCTTTACACAATATCTTACTCTTGTATTTTAAATTTTTTTTTTGTAGTCTATCAATAATATATAATAATAATAAAATTGTGAAAAATGCCCATAACAAGTTCCAAGTAGTTTACGTTTATTCAAGAAACAGTCCAAATACCCAAGAATAAGTTTATAGTGATGTAAATCAGAGAGAAGCCACACATTCTCACAGTAGTAACATGACAAAATCAGGGATGCAACGGTTATAGATTTTGTTGGTATGATTACAGTAGGAGGAATTATCCCGGGTTCATGATTAAGCATAAATTAATTTCACATCATCAGTAATTACTTAAGTTGATTTTTAATATTCAATTACATTAACAATCATACATCTATAATATTTAAGTATTAATATAAGATGAATATTAACTTTATTTATCCCCAGGGAAATTGTTAAGGAGGAGAATAAACTGAACTGTATTTCTCCTCAACTCTCATCCTTTTTAGTGAAAATGATAGAAAGAAATTGAGAACATCTCTCATGCTGTGTTATTATTAACTGAAATGCAGGTAATTGGTAGTCCTGGAAGTCTATAAGGTCCTGATGTTATGTTAGTGTTTTACACATTTTCTCAACACAGAGAGGAGGAGGCAACAGGATGTAATGTGAAAATTTCAGTGACTGAAGGTCTTGAGCAGCTGCATCCAAGCCTTGCATCACCAAGTGAATTGCAAAGCATCGGATGCAGTGGTATAAAGAACGCCACCACTGGACACTAGAGCCGTGGAGACGTGTTCTCTGGAGTGACCAATCTAGCTTATTTGTCTGGCAATCTGATGGGCAAGTCTGGGTTTGGCGGTTGCCAAGAGAACGGTACTTTCCTGACTGCATTGTGCCAAGTGTATAGTTTGTTGGGGGGGGATTATGGTGTGGGGTTGTTTTTCAGGGGTAGGGCTTGGTCCTTAGTTCCAGTGAAAGGAACTGTTAATGCTTCAGCATAATAAGACATTTTGGACAATTTCATGCTACCACCTTTGTGGGAACGGTTTGGGGATGGCCCATTCCTGTTACAACATGACTGTGCACCAGTGCACAGTGCAAGGTCCATAAAGACATGGATGAGCGAGTTTGATGTGGAGAACTTGACTGGCCTGACCTCAAATTGATAGAACACCTTTGTGATGAATTAGAGCAGAGACTGCGAGCCAGGCCTTCTCATCCAACATCTGTGCCTGACCTCACAAATGCGCTTCTGGCAAAATGGTCAAAAATTCCCATCAACAGACTCCTAAACCTTGTGGACAGCCTTCTCAGAAGAGTTGAAGCTTTTATAGCTGCAAAGGGTGGGCCAACTCCATATTAAAGAATGGGATGTCATTAACCTTCATGTGCATGTAAAGTAGGCGAACCAAAACTTTTGGCAATGTAGTGTATCTATATACAGTACTGTGCAAAAGTAAGAATGCTTTCAGACTGAGACATTAGGGCTGCAACTATTTTGATTTCATTTATTATTGAAACAAATAATCAACTATTCCGATTAGGAATTGCAAAATTATAAGGGTTTTTCCAGGCTCAGAAAGGGTCTTTGGGGCGTGACTATGCACGACAGTAAGCATTATCAGTACTAGGGCTGAACGATTTTGGAAAATCTAATTGCGATTTTTTTACCAATATTGCGATTTAATATGCGATTAATTAATTAACTAATTCACGAGAGGGGTCCAACTGCAGACCTCCACTGTTAGGCCACCTCCACTGTCAGGCCGGTCAGGACAGGAAATAACCATATATAAACTGTTTTTTTACATCCCCCACAGGACGTAACATGATGCATTCTTGGTTGTTTTGCTACTCTACACTTTGCGACAACGTTAGGTGAGTGGTTAGCATTTTCCAAAACATTGACTAAAGTCTGAATGCATTGCCCATGGTATATGTTCACCGTGAAAATAGTTATCGTAGTCAATATTGTACATCTAAATCACACAAATTACAGAATGTTACACGTGTGTAAGTTAAGTTATTTGTCATTCTACATGGCCAACAGTGGCTAGCGTTAGCTCCTGAAGTAGCAGGATTAGCTTTATTTCCCTTTTGATAACATAAGCTAACGTTAATCATAGACTGTAAGCTACTGTGTGTTTAGCTTTATTAAACGTTTTTTTGTGCAGCATTTAGCAAGGGCATAGGTTTGCATTTGTCTTATTATGTTGACTTATGACTCTCTGGTTAGTTATTTGTCCAAATGAAGATATAATAAAGATCCATATCGTTTAGATCGTTGGGTATAGCTTTTTCACACTTAAACAACGTGCAAAGACTTTGCTGGCTGTATGAATTAATCTTAGTTGAATTGAAGTTCATGTAGTGTTACTACGACAGTGTTTCCCAACCCTCTCCTGGAGAAAGTTACCCCCTGTCCTGCATGATTTAATCTCTCCATGCTCCAACACAGCTGATTGAAGCAGCTTCAGGATTCATAACGATTTCATAGTTTGAATCAGCTCTTTTGGAGCAGGGAGAGATCTAACACACACGTTTATATAAACAGAACCACAGCCACTGTTGGCATATCCTAATTTGTGTGATTTAGATGTACAAATATTGATAGTGGTAGATATTTTGATGGAACATGCCAAGACCCATGCATTCAGACTTTTGTTTTAAATTTTTTGCATAATGCAGATCAGTCACTGCTGCCAACTCCTTTTCTAAGTGTGTAACCTGTGTGTGTATACAGTGAATAAAGTAAAAGTATTATTACAGTAGGCTACTAACTTTTGTGTCTCCATTCATTTTTAAAAAGTGGATATTTACAAAATTATTGATACAGGTATAGGCTACATGTTGTATTATGCAATATAACATGTAGCCTAATAGATTGTAATATATTCAGAAAATAGTGAGAAATGCTGTCACAGTTCCCTAAGTGACACCTTTAACAAGCTTGTTTTGTCAGTACAAACCTCAAAATGATTAAAAATACATTAAAATGATGAAATAAAAGTAGCAAATCAAACAAAACACCATTCATAAGCTGAAATGTGTAACCTACTCGCGCACACACAGCTCAGCATACACACAAGTTCTGCAATCTGTGTGTGTATGTGTGTGGAGAGAGAGAGAGATTACCTATAGTTAATAACTGACCCAAACAAACTGAAAGAGATTTTATATATATAAATATATTATAAATATATAAAGTGCTAACTCATCAATAATCATAACCATTCATGCAGAACAACACATTCAAAAGGTTTTGAGAAGTGCTAGTACGCAAGAAAAGGTCCTGGTACGCCAAAGAGTAAAATGTAGTAGCCTAGTGTGCCAATGAGTACACTTCAAGCAATACACACAAGTGATCCACTTTGAAGGCTCTGCTGGCTGTTCAGCTGTAATGTCCAGACAGATATGTAGCACGCAACAGGAGATTGTTGTCAGACGCTTTCTTACCTAGTGGAAATACTCTTACCGTTTGGTTAATGCGAGGGGTGCAGTCATGTCTCCCATTAGTACTTACTTGGTAACGGTGCGTTCAGGCACAGTCAAACCAACGCAGCAGCTGGTTTATTAACACTAGAACCACCAGGGTTCGTTGTATACCTATAACCGGTAAAGTTTACCCGCTTTAACAATGCTGTGATTTTGTGATTATTTCTGCTACATGTTGCTCCAACACACTTTGGGAATCATTCAGCACCTTGGCTGTGCATTTCCTATAAACACCATCCCCATATTTCAGGTATTTACAGAATGTTTATTCTATTTTATTCATTGTCTTCACCGTGCAGGTAATTCGCTTGCGCTGCACATCTGAAGGGCACGTTCACACGCGGCGGATCTTTTCATGTCATCCACTCGCCGCTGTTATAGATATTACAGCCTAGTTATATTCTAAACACAGCTTGAATTTAAATGCAGCACACAATTTACAAAAAAAAGACTTGATGTTGTAGTGTTTTACAGGCGGTAATAATACCCTCATAATGTCAGCTAGTTCTTACTGTTCTGCTTGTTTTCTTGCATTCCATCGGGCATCCAGAGAGTAACACAAAAGTCCAAATAAAAGTAGGCCATTTCCTAAAAAAAAAACGATTATCATCAATTCCAAAATTTTGACTGGAAAAGCTATAGCCAGTCAAAAATCACACGAGAGCGCCACACGCTCTCTTGAAGGGACCGCAGAACAGACCTATAACAGGGGAAAACTAGGCTACTGCATTAGTTTTGATGATCATGTAGCAACATCATTCAAATGGATCGCTGTCAGATAATGACCCGTCAGATGCAGAATCAACCCAGGACACACATCTCAGCCCCCACCGTCAGACTCTCCTTCACTCACTGCCCTGAGCAAGTGTAATGCCTGTAGTGGGAAAGGCGTTGCCAATAGCAACATAGAATGTTTATCTAAACGCGCATCATGAACAGCGCTAAAATGAATGTATTCTCTATAGGGGTCAATTTTACCCGCTGGCGCTTATAGGTATAAATGCCCATTTTTTTAAATCTGGCCTTTTTTTAACAATAGGTGGTGCTACATAACACACTTTTAGGGAAAGCCAGAGACTGGGGGACTTGAATATTATATTGAAACAAAGATGCATACAATCAAAAAAACAGCCGCGGTTAAATTTGACCTTTTGGCGGTTCTAGTGTTAATCCAGCGCCAGCTACATGTGTAAAATACAGCGGCTGTGGATGTGAGAAGAGGTGACTGCTGAAAGTCAAGGATGTCGTATTTAAGTTTATGTTCTGCTTGCTCAACATTTTTTTTTGATTGATAAATAGATTTGAAATGCTATTTTTTTCTTAGCATTGGAGATTTTCCTTTGGCAGTCGCTAAAACGTCTTTGTGGGTGCCAAAAAATTCTCTATGCAGGAAAACCCCTGATTATACAAGGCCTTTTATTTAGCTTTCAGCTTTTAAATTTAGCTTGAGGTTTTATAAGACATGTGCTAATAAACAATAAAATGAATACTGCATCCAAAAATACATATTGTCATAAACTGCTGTAGCAACAGAATGTTCACTGAAATCAAGTCCTGTCAGGGAACAAACAGGTAGCGTTATAAACGGTAAGAAATAGCTGTGTGCTGCACTCGTCTGTGCAGCTAATCTGCTGCTAATGAGCATCATTTATTTAGTGACAGAGTAGCACAAAGGTACGGCAACACACCGGGACAAACTGACACTATAGTTATACAAAGAAAGGATACATTTACCAAATTTACAAGAGGGGACAAATAATAAGGAAGTTGATAAAGTTTCCCCTAACACAGCAACTCAAAAAACTTTTTTAAGGGAGTCTGGGGCGCTTTAGCTGCCACCTCACGCAACTGTATAAAACTGTCTGTTCTCTAATCTTGTGCACTCTGCAGCAACATGTTCTCCAGATGTACAGTGCATCTGGAAATTGCAAATTTGCATCGTTTTTTACTTTTCATAAATTTGCAAAGATTTCAAATCAACTTCTTTCACGTTGTCATTATGGGGTATTGTTTGGAGAATTTTGAGAAAAATCATGAATTTCATGAATTACGGAAAAAGGCTGTAACATAGCAAAATGTGGGAAAAGTGAAGTGCTGAATACTTTCACTCATGACTCTGTAAACATTGCCATGAGTGATGCATCGTTTTATTATTGTAAAGTTAGGAGCTGGGCACATCTGGAATGTAAACAGGACAGTGTTTATGATAATTAGTTGCTACTTGTTAATTGATAAATACAATCTATTACGTGTATATTTTTGGAAGCATTATTACTTTACAGCATTTATTCCACACCTTCCTTAAACAGTACTGTATCTATTTTAAGGCGAGACACGGCAAGCAAAAACCTAAATTTTATCATGCATTGGTCTATTTTGAGATTTTGGTCTATTTTGCTTTCATAAGTTTATTTTAGACTACTGGAAAGAAAATGTCCAAAGTACACATTTAGTTTTTTATTTTACTTCTTCTTTTACTACGTTTGTCAACTTGTCTGTAGATTTATCCTGAATTTACCAAAAGTTATCATTCTAACGCAACATGCCCTACCGTGTTTTACTTCTACATCTATTGCTGTCTGCACCATATCATCCTTTATTGTTGTAAAGCTCTCTCTCTGCTGCACGATGTTATCAGATTCAATATGGTAATTTCCTTTGTACAAGCAGCCAATCATGAAAGTACAAAGGGGGATTTAGCGAAAGTGCGAAATCCTTTTAGCAAGTGTTGATTTCTGACAGTGTGATGTTTAGATGCATCACGAGGCACATGACACTTCCTGATTTAGCTTTTGGTGGGATCTTTACAAAATAACCATGCCAAAAGAAATGGGTCTCCAATAAAAGACAACTATAGTTGTCAATTGCAGTTCCACAGTTTTATGAAGTGCATCGAGCATAAACTGTCATTCGGAAAGCACTTTGTGTGGAGTGTTTAGTGTTAGATAGCGAGACACACAGCAGTGGCTGATAGTTCATGTAGTGTGTTTGAATGAATTGATCAGTGGATTAATTTGTCCTTATTGCGCAGGCACAGGGCTTAAAACGAACATTGATCCACAAAATCATGGGTTCTGCAGCAGTTAGCTTCTTGAGTGCACTCTCTGCGAAAGAGATGGGTATGAGAAAAGTGTTTACATCTATGCGTCTTTAAATGGAACCAGGAATGATCTTAAGTTTGATGTAAATGTGCAAATAATACTCTTAGGCTACAGACAAAACATGGACTACAGGCTAATTGTTAAAATACTGTCTCACACACACTTCAAAGCAACTTGGACAATAAGTAATCAGTTCTATTTATGTTCAAAAAGTATTCTGGAGTCTCAGCCTACCACTAGGGGCTGCAACAATATAATTAATCCTGGTAGAGTTATTAGTGT